TGTTTGTGTATATGTATTTTCACTAATTTTTTTGACAGTCATATAATTGTCGGTAGTGTTTTCATCCAAGTAACGATCTGTTGCATCATCATTTGATTTCGTATTTATTGTAAAAGGTGAACCGTCTTTGTCGTGCCCTTCATCTGGTCATTGTCATCTGTAATACCATCATCTTATATTGATGCTTGCGTGTGTACCCCAGTCGTGTTGCACTTGCACCACTAGTATATGAGGATACACAATATAATCTAAGATCGTACGCTTATCATATGCAGTGCTCAGGGTGGATGTGGTTCCTGGTGAATCGATTGGCCCGTTTGTGCTGGGCATGACCTTGGGGACGACTATTGAATGGCTGAGATCGCATTCGCGAGAGATCCCTCAGGTGGAGTTGCTGTACAGCGAAGAGGTGTGCTTACGACGCCCAGCTATTTGTGCGTGTACAGCTGAATTACAATGCAATGCAATCCCTATCATCACACAGAATGTACTTGTAGTGTCAATATGAACCAAAGCTATTTGCACGTGCGCAGTCGAACATCAAGGGTTTCTCTCTCTGTGTTCTTGTTGGATTGAAGTAAAACAGTGGCACGGCAGTATGACAGTTTCTTTATGCGTACCGAGAAAAAGACAATCCAAATGTTTGTCATACATACTCGTGCACACTATGGAAGTTCCTACAGACTTGTCATTCTTATTCAGAAGACTTGTCATTCTTATTCAGAAGGCTTGTCATTGTTATTCAAAAGACTTGTCATTCTTATTCAGAAGACTTGTCATTCTTATTCAGAAGACTTGTCATTCTTATTCAGAAGACTTGTCATTCTTATTCAGAAGACTTGTCATTCTTGTTCAGAAGACTTGTCATACTTATTTACTAATTCAGGAGACTTGTCATACTCATTTAGAACCCCTTCGACTATGACAACGTGCTGCGCCTGACCAAGAATGGAATACAGCTGCGTTTCACCAGCGACAGCCAACGTCTGAAGATTGTGGAGGTGTTTGACCTAAGCAATCTGCAGCTGGTCTATGCGAACTCCATCTTTAGGTGTGCCTTTGAGTCTTCTCGCATGCAAAGATTGATGTTTCAAAGTCGGTTGTTATTTTTGGGAGGTTTTGCGGTGGGGTAGTCCCATGATTGTAAGAAATAGCAATTGCCATCACAGTGAACATATATACAATACGCTAATTGCAGAAGTTTGTGTATTGTTTCTATCATTTCGCTGACATTTGGACGGTGCCCGTCTGCCAATGCTCGAGTTTTGGTAAGGCAGCGGCCGCCTTGCTTTACGCCCGCACTTTGCGTACTCACAATATCAGCATAAATTAGTCAGTTATCCTTTAACAAGTGGACGATCGTACTTCCAGTACCTCGAGCGCTATTTAGATTGGCCTGCTGTAGTATCGAATACCCTTTCCTTATTTACCACAGCTCCGCAACCGTAGCGCCTACGTTTCTGACAGTCTCTCGGCTATTCGGACCGTCGTATCCGGGACAGTTTGATCGGAAGCGGCAGCATCACTCCCTTAAATATCCAGGTAAAGACCGGCAGAAACACGGAATTGGTTTGGGTTTCATAAGTTGGCATAACATGTTCGTTCCAATACCCATGGACAGACCTATTTTTGCACGGAATCTACGCAGGTTTGATAGTTGAGGGTAGTAAATCAGAGTTACATAACATATACATGTATCAATTCAGCATCGCATACGCTCGATTTTTCACCTATTGGTCGTTTTCGCTTTTAGGACTGTCCTTCTTCTTTCCGATCCCCGAGCAGTATTGCGGAATACAAAGCCAGACCACGGTATGTAGTCTGAAGTGTACTGCAGACTCCGTTACAACGACAGGACAACAATGTCAGTATCGCATCATTTAAGAAGTGATCCGCGAATATCAGGCGTCGTCGTTTTGTAGCATTGATTAAACCGTACACAACCGCCTCTTTGAACATAGATATTTGCCGTGTTTGTTCACTTTTTTTGTTTCAAATGGATTTCCCTTGTAACTTGCTCGCACACGAGTACGCTCTACAAGCCGTTGGGCACGACATCAATTGGTATATTCAATTGAACTATTCAAGTGGTGTGCAACGCTAGCGTGGGTACTTTCCTCTAGTGTGGCATTAATCGGATATTGAGCGTAGTACTATTCTTGGCATTAATCGGATATTGAGCGTACTACTATTCTTGGCATAAATCGGATATTGAGCGTACTACTATTCTTATGTACAAGCTTCTTCCCTTCTCCCATTGGTACAGAGCCGGAAAGAGGAACAGGCACACCTGACCAACGGCGCAGGTATGACGAGCTTCACATGATTGCGTTCACCATATCCACTTCAAGGTGGCATTTTCCGGGGGGGTTGCGTGGATCCCGTTTACTTTCGTTCACATTGTACTATATGCTCGCTTCTAGCTGACAGCCTTGATATATCGACATGACATGGCTTGAAGAAATCCACAAATATATATTCCGTAAATGACGAGAAATTTCAGTGGTGTATATCTTCGTTTTACCCTTTGCAGATAACGCCAGGAGGAAAAGTGGCCAGACCAATCGCAAAGCGGAGTCTGCTCAGCCTAACGAGACCTCATCGCCACATTTTGATGGTAATCCTGTGTTGTGTAGAAAAATAAACTTCTGCTACATTTTATCCTAATAACTAACAGCTCACAACAAATACAACGAGACTGTTATTATATCATTGTTTGGATAGGTACTGTTTACTTCAGTATGCCTGGCTTCGTCAGCATAAGGACTGTTATGTGTAGAAACTGAAAGGATGTATATCACATAACATCTATGCGTATTTCTTTGTACATAAAAGCATATATGTATGTATACACGTACAATCCCACGTATTTGTACGTTTGTATATGTTTATATATTCATCTATGTATACACGGATACCATGCTTCGGAAATACACAATTCATTCGGCTATACGGCATTTTATCAAAATTCTCATCCGCAGCTTTTGTATATGTATACCTTCTATTAGTATATATAAATATTGTGCGGTAGGCTATATATATATAAATATATATATATATATATTTATATATATAGATATATATCAATATATATTTGTGTATGTGCATATATATATATATATATATATATATATATCATATTTATACATACATGTATATATGTATAAATATCATGTGTACGCTACCAGTACACTGGTGAACATTTTGATTAGTTTATTTTAATTGTGGTTGTTTAAGTATATACATGACATATCCATACCTATTTATTTTCTATCTTGTGATTTTAAACTTAATCATTGTTACGCGCGTATATTTCTATTTACATGGCTAGTCACACGTTTGTGTTCAGAAACCCTACATCCACAATCTCATGATTGTAGTGACCACACCCTGGACTAATAACAATTCCACTCTCTGCTCCCTTTCTCGATACTCCTGCAATACAGATCACGAGCCGCCTCTAGAGCTCCCCGATGGGACCACACCAGTCGCAAGACGCATTTGTGTATACGCACCTGACCATCGCCTACCACCAGGTGAGCGACTTCTATCTATTCTAAGTTCCATGTCACGAATCGTACGCTGCTATGTGAAGCTATTGGTTGTTCGCTATTGTTGTATGTCATAGATGTCTCGATATCAAGATTGTATCTGATTATACGACGAGGGCAAATGTGCGGTATTTTTTGATGTGGAGCGATGCGTGTGTGCGTGCGTGCGTGCGTGGGTTTCCGTGGATATGTTTGTTCCAACTCACTTTTATCGGGCGGGAAATCTAGCTTCACCAACAATCGGCTGCTTTTAACAAGGAAGTTCTTCTATATAGGAATAGTGCAAGCCATGAACAAGCAAATGCGGCTGAGACCGTTGTTGTACTACCTTGTACCGTTTGATTCGACTATACCGCATATCTAAACCGCCTCTCTGATATCGCTGCAGTGGCTGGGAGCAGTACCAGAGGCTTGCTGCCAGTGTACTATGACAAAGTCAAGGGCGTGCCGAGTGAGGGTATCTCCATAGCGCGATATGGGATGTCGGTCCGTTTCGGCGATAGCTGTCAAGATGTCATGTGTCAATTAGGGCCGCCTTCGAAGGTAGGTCGTGTTCATTTAGACGGTGGAGCTTTGGTTTATCGATACATTCTTACACTTTTGACCTGATACTTTAATCTAATACGTTATCAACACAAACACACACACACACACACACACACATGTATTTACACACACACACACACACACACACACACACACACATATATATATATATAATATAATATATTGCAGATTTATTACAAGGAAGAAGACAAGATGCGGATCCATACGTATGCAACGCAGAATGGTGGCGGTGGTGGTCCTTCTGGATCGCCTAGCGGCGGCTCAAAAAGGTCTGCTTCCCTTAGCACAGGTATGATTGGATAATACAATGTGGCCTCCTTTTAAATCGTGTGTTCCTTTGTGTATCGAATTCAAGGGTCTTATAGTGCCCATATAAATATATAGTTTGAACGTGCTCGAGGTTGTCCGCGGACTGTGCTGGCAGTATATACTTGGTATGTGCAAAATAGAGTAGACAATTAGGTATCTATGTAGCGTAGATGGGCTGCAGAGCTTTTGGGAATACTGATCCGGGCTGGTGCGCTTCCTCTTCCGCAATTGACCACAGCTTGGCATCCCGTCTCTTGTTAGTCTATCTCATTCACATTTTCTATGTAGTCAATTTATGCACGCATCCTCACTCCATTAGGGTTTAGGGTCTAGGTATTAGTTTGGCATGCCGTCTCATTTAAGGCTATCTCATTCACATTTTCTATGTAGTCAATTTATGCACGCATCCTCACTCCATTCTCGCTTCTCAGATACCCCGCACTAGTCAAAAGCGCACTAAACTATACCATAGCATTGAACCGAGGAACATCCGGCTTACGTACTCACTAACCGCGTCTCTTTTCATCTGGCTTCCTCTTCCCCCCCCCCCTCCCATTTTGCAGCGGGAAAGGGGCGGCCCTCACAAGTGGGTACCCACTGCAGCGACTACTTCTACAACTACTTTGACCTGGGCATAGACGTTCTGTTCGATGCCGAACGACATACCGTGAAGAAGATTGTGCTGCACACGAATCTGCCGTCGCATTTAGATTTTGGCATTTACCACAAATGCAATTTTAGTTTATGGGTTCCGGACGAGCCCGCGCTGTCAGACATGTCATCGCAGTCACCGCCAAACCGACCGCCGACTATCAACTCCACGCCAGGTAAGGAGGATTGCACAATCTGTATATTCACGCCACACGGACGTATTTATTTTTGTATGCTCGTGATATTGGCAAGGTCTCGGCAAGGTCTCTAGCCGTGGAACATTCATCACTTATGTTGGATGGAAGCGTGGTACTTATCTTATACACTCGTGAACCGATGATTTCCCATGATGGGGTGCTTGATTGTATTTATGGCGCGTGCTCTGCCGGATTAATATTGTTTTGCTTATTGCTGCTATGACTTTCATCACAAGCTCTGCTATTCTACTAGGTGGTGTGGGTGTGCCGCATACTCAGCTACGCCTGACGTAACTTACAATAATCATTATCATATCTACAACTGTTGTCGGCTTGTGATGCTAACCCTATGCGATGCATCCGTCAACCCTGGAGAGTTCTTGGCAACCTGAACAAGCTGCGCGTTACGTGTGGGTTGCTGCTACACTCATTTTTATCTTTAATCAATCACTCCACTCCTTTTTGTGCAGGTACGAACGATCCCCAAACGAGGTCGACGAAACAGACCCACACTACTGGAGCGGATAGCAATCTGAAAATGCGAAACGACATAGTACACCAAGCACGCAAGAAGGACCGAACTGTGTCTTCCAGTGACAGCAGTGATACAGAGGGCCCGACTACCTCTGGCATAAAAGGTACAGGTGCTGTTGATCAGGCTCAAGCTTGCTGGCGTGTATACACCTGCCGTTTCCACGAATCAGGCGGGAAAAACGGTTGTTCGATATCCATCTCTCACTCTGTGTCTGACTTCTACCTATCGTTTGCTCTATATCTATAAATAGCCCAAGCTGGCCGAAGAACCGCACCACAAAATTCTGCAGAAGACCGGTTGAAAGGGCCCGACGCCAAGGCAGAGAGGCGGAGAAAGGGGGTCAGCATCACTTCGCTTATGTCCGTAAGTTAGCACTTCACCAAGATAAACTCAGTTCCTTACGGTGAGCATGTCGTTAGTGAAACTAGTCCAAGTAATATCATAGCATTGGTAGTACAACTATTGTTTGTCTATCGGTTCTGTGGTTCGATTCCCGCCGTTGACAGTGAGCTGGTGTGTATGTGTTGAGTATACATCTGAGTGCACATGGCTTTTGGGTGCCCCCTCTCCTCCCCCCCCCTACTCCCAAAAAACGTTCATGTTTCATCGATTAATTTCATGTGGTGATTGCTATTGCGACCATAGTAGTATGTGTCTCCTCTTCGCCAGTAGGCGATGTCTGCGACCAATTCGTAGAATCACGTTTACGTTGTACTTACATTGTACGGCATGTATCATGTCATGTTTAAATTTGGATTAAAGTTTCTGATAAGAGTTACAGTTGCCGTGACTATTACTCATTCCATCTTCGGCGTTTTCCGAAACGGGGAGCCAGAACGCGTTACCACTGCAAATACGCAACATCCCTCTATGATATCGACCTTTGGGAGTGTGCGACAGCGTAGGTCATATATCACCAACACATACAAGAGTATGGGTGTTGCATATCATAAAGCTAGGCTCTTCACATGTGTGCTCGTTTCATTGGTGAGCAAGCTGTGGTATCTCACATCACACAACTGTGCGCCTTAGTCGTTCTCCCGGACTGTTGTTCTCGAGAGACAACTGAGGCGATTCCTATAACCATCCTTAGGAACCACCTCGTCTGTGTTGTTTCTGCAAACGGATTCGATTGACATTGTACTTTTAATTGATCTTTGGGAACTATTCGGAAGGAGTCTACTTTCGTTTACTCTGGGCCCCACCTGTTTTCAATCGCTATATTAATTGCTGAGAATTCGATTTTGTTCCTCCGATCAGTGGGCCGAGATAAAAAGGATACTAGGTGAGCCTATTGGGTTGCCGGTTATATTCAATCGAGGATCGGCGATAACACCGTTTGGCACTACCCGCTTCCACGGATACGATAGATTAATCTTCGAGGTATTAACTGTCGATATTTTCTAAGAATTTATATCTACATTATATATATATATATATAAATATAACCTATATATGTGTGTATGTACGCGTATATATATATATATATATATATATGTGTGTGTGTATGTACACGTATATATA